GACCCCAGAACTGGCCAAGATGGCCTGCCTGAGTCTGGGGCTGGACATCCTGTCCAAAGAACCAGGATGAACCGCCACTCCCACCAGGTGGAAACCCAGACATGTACAGGCTAAGCCCGTAACTGCTGAGTAACTGTTGGTACCCAAAACCATCCGCAGGTTGGCCTGGGCGACCCAGGAATAAGTGCCCGCAGGCACCCCTACTCCCTGAGCCCGGGGGAAAGGGAGACCGGAAACCGGACTCCTGGCCTGAAGCCCCAAACCCTTGGAGGAAAACCCCCTGGGAAACCCTGCACTGGGAAATCTGGATTGGGACGGAAGTCCCAGAGCCAGAAGCCTGTGAGGGTGGGAAAACAGACCCCGCGCTGACACCAGGATTAGTGAACTCAAGTGTCACTAATCCCCGTAGCCACAGACAATCCTGACAAAAAGTCTGTGGCCCCTGAACCTATACCCGAAGGCACAGTTCCGGAGTCAAAGCGGCCCCCACCAACGACGCCACCTGGCGTGCCGAGGTCCCTGAAGGAATCAGAGACCTCGACCGGAAGTCCCTTTCCGACGGTAACACCGCCGCCTATCGAGAGCTACCGGCCAATTCGACCCTTGACTGCGCCGAGTCAGGGTCGGGCTGCCCCCCCCCTACTCCAGGACGCACCTGGACAGGGGGAGCCACCCCCTGCTGAAGGGCGGAGCTCGGTGGAACGAGAGCACCCCCAGCAGGAACGCTCTGGTTCAGAACTTCAGGAGGGAGGTCTTAAAAAGCTTACTTCCCTTACCGGAAGAAGAGGACGAATCCCTCTTCCGGCGGAAAGTAAGCTGGAAAGGCATGGGAGCCTAAGCAGCAGACTCCATGTGCAAACAAAGTTCACATAGTGAGGTCTGGCTGTAATGTCGGCAAATGGGACAGGTATCATGGGGTTCCCATTATCTATAGAAATAGGAACATCCATGCGCTGACCCCCGACGTAAACCCGGCACCTTTATCCAGCATCGAAACAATAAAAAATTGTAACAATGAAAACAAGGATAAAAAGTTTTCTAACAATCAAAAAACTACGAACGAGATCATAAAACCTACCGTACGCAGCAAGATTGTACTGCAAAAAAAGAAAACGGTCGTACAAAACGGCCGACAAAGCAGCAAGAAAACAATTTCAACTTCACGAAAATCCGAGTGACGAGACAAGTAGTCACTCACTCGAACACGCGGAGTAAAAACACGGCCGGAAACGAAGTTCTCGAACAATCAAAAAACTACGAACGAGAGCACAAAGCCTACCGTACGCAGCAAGATTGCACTGCATAAATAAAACGGCCGTACAACACGGCCGACAAAGCAGCAAGAAAACAAATTCCAACTTCACGCAAATCCGAGCAACGAGACAAGTAGTCACGCACTCGAATACGTGGAGGAAAAAACGGCCGGAAATACGGTCAAAATAAACAAATGACAATACTTAATTTCACAATATAAGTTGGGAGATGGGTTTATAGACTACTAATAGAGTAACAATATACTCAAACGACAATGGCAGTACGAAGAGAAGGAGTAAGAAAAGCACTTAGCTCAGACACCTCCGCACTCGTCGGCAGCCATAAAGGTAAGAGGAAGGGAGATCACTCTGCGTTCCTGCCGTGATGGCTCATGGATCGTAGGGAGGGCGGGATTGTTTTTCTTTTGAATCTTTTGTTGTTGGGATACAAAGATGGGTGTAGGTACTGTATTTGCATACTAAAGTTATGGTAATTATTACTGAAATGAAAAGGTACTTTAAAAAAAATTAATAAAAGATGAGGGCTGAATGATTTATCAAAGTTCTTTCAACATTAACCAGTAATATCTGACCTAATCTTCATTGTGTAATGTTAATGGTTTGTAAACAACATTAAAGTATTTTGCAATCAATGAGTCAATTTATTTGAAAGAGTTTTTAATAGATTCAATGAAATTTGACGGAGTATATTTAAAGACTGAAAAACATTTTGTCATACCCTAAAATACTACTTTTAAACTCTACTTTCGAAATCAATGATTAATAGAAAATTGGATCTGAGCTTAAAATGAATTGATGTAATTATGATATGGAGTCTGTAATTATGATATGGAGTCTGTAATTATGATATGTCTGTAATTATGATATGTCTGTCATTATGATATGGTGTCTAATTATGATATGGAGTCTGTAATTATGATATGGTGTCTGTAAATATGATATGTCTGTCATTATGATATGGTGTCTGTAATTATGATATGGAGTCTGTGATTATGATACGGTGTCTTTAATTATGATATGGTGTCTGTAATTATGACATGTCTGTAACTATGATATGTCTATCATTACGATATGGTGTCTGTAGTTATGATATGGTGTCTTTAATTATGATATGGTGTCTGTAATTATGTTATGTCTGTAATTATGATATGATGTCTGTAATTATGATATGATGTCTGTAATTATGATATGGTGTCTGTAATTATGTTATGTCTGTAATTATGATATGATGTCTGTAATTATGATATGGTGTCTGTAATTATGATATGTCTGTCATTATGATATGGTGTCTTTAATTATGATATGGTGTCTGTAATTATGTTATGTCTGTAATTATGATATGATGTCTGTAATTATGACATGTCTGTAACTATGATATGTCTGTCATTACGATATGGTGTCTGTAGTTATGATATGGTGTCAGTAATTATGATATGATGTCTGTAATTATGATATGTCTGTGATTATGACATGATGTCTGTAATTATGATATGATGTCAGTAATTATGATATGATGTCTGTAATTATGATATGTCTGTAATTATGAAACGGTGTCTTTAACTATGATATGGTGTCTGTAATTATGACATGTCTGTAACTATGATATGTCTGTCATTACGATATGGTGTCTGTAGTTATGATATGATGTCTGTAATTACGATATGATGTCTGTAATTATGATATGATGTCTGTAATTATGATATGATGTCTGTAATTACGATATGATGTCTGTAATTATGATATGATGTCTGTAATTATGATATGATGTCTGTAATTATGTAACGGTGTCTGTAATTATGACATGTCTGTAACTATGATATGTCTGTCATTATGATATGGTGTCTGTAGTTATGATATGCTGTTTCCACATCCAGTAATTAAAGGTTTTTTTGGTCTCAAGATCTAATATTTTTCTTTTCAATGATAAAAAAAAAATTGTGTTCTAGTTCTAGCAGCATTTTGATTTCCTTGGTTATAATTTTAATCTTGTTTGCAGATCTCCTTTACCACATTTTGACCAATCTCCCTAAAATTCTTGTATGCTTTAAGACAGTGATTGCTTCATTAACAACTATTTGTATGATTTTTGAAAGTGGTAGAGCATTTTTGCTCCCTCCTCTCACTTTTTGAAACACTTTAAAACATGATGAAAGTTAAGATATACATGGAGAGCCTTTCAAAGCATTTTTTTACTTCATACTCTCACTTTTTGAAACACTTTTTGACACAATAAGAGTTATGATATACATGGAGAGCCTTTCAAAGCATTTTTTTACTTCATCCTCTCACTTTTTGAAACACTTTTTGACACAATAAGAGTTATGATATACATGGAGAGCCTTTCAAAGCATTTTTTTACTTCATCCTCTCACTTTTTGAAACACTTTTTGACACAATAAGAGTTATGATATACATGGAGAGCCTTTCAAAGCATTCTTTTACTTCATCCTCTCACTTTTTGAAACACTTTTTGACACAATAAGAGTTATGATATACATGGAGAGCCTTTCAAAGCATTATTTTTACTTCATCCTCTCACTTTTTGAAACACTTTTTGACACAATAAGAGTTATGATATACATGGAGAGCCTTTCAAAGCATTTTTTTACTTCATACTCTCACTTTTTGAAACACTTTTTGACACAATAAGAGTTATGATATACATGGAGAGCCTTTCAAAGCATTTTTTTACTTCATCCTCTCACTTTTTGAAACACTTTTTGACACAATAAGAGTTATGATATACATGGAGAGCCTTTCAAAGCATTTTTAAAGCATTGTTTCTATTGTCGTTACAGTAATCTGTTTTCAGAACTGTTTTGAAATCATATTTACATTTTTATATCGGTCCTAGTCCAAGGCAATATAAAAACAAAATATGATGAATGTTGAATGATGCGGACCGCTTTAAACTGAATTTCTCTACATCTCTCTGGTTTTTGTTGGATCTCTTTGAAGCTTGGCATTGTCCTTTCCAAAATAACATTCAGTATTGATAATTGTTTTCCAAAATTTAAGCACAAACTTATCTAAGTCTGTGATAAAAGTGAAATGGCATGAAACTATTACAATGACAGTGACAGTGTAAGCTTTCCTCCTACCTAAATGTGTTTGACATAAATGGACAGATCCACTGGACACCCGATCTGCGAAATATGTCAAAATGTCTAACACCAGTCAGAGTCAGGACCCTCTAATGTACACTTTGTCAATCCAAACTAGTGATATTGTCATAATGTCATTACTTGTTTTAACCACAAACACCAATAAACTTGTACAATAATGAGTGAAGTAGCGAACTGATTACTACTGATTACACAGCTTAAATTGAAATCTTACTTGGTTTCAAAAAAACGCAGGTATTTGGAATTATGACTGTAAAACTATAAATTATATTGAGTGATAAAGATCTAACTTATATTTCATATGAAAAGTAAGTATAGTGATACATTATTTGTTACATGAAAATATTTATTTAATAGATATATATATGTAACAAATAAACATATATATAGTATATTTCTTACCTAAACTAAGAATTTCACACATCATTCAAATAGAAACCAAGTACAGCTACATTTTAAAATTGTACTATTGGGTAGAATTACCATCACTGGTTTTTTTTTATCTCTCCAGTATAACAAGAATTTCGGTGTGTAATTGTATAACAAAAAGTGTTTATTTCCAGGGAAAGTGACATTTCATCAAAACATTACATCGACCAACCTTTCTGTCCTTCCACGTTTGATCCTTTTCCGTGTAATGTCGCCAAAACTTTTACTTTAGGTGTGGACACACGAACAGCTGCAAAATTACTCTGTTTCTTGATGAAATTCGAAATATTCGATAGCTGTCTCCGTTGCAAAAGACGAAATGTTGACGAAACTCCTGCCATCTCGATAAGATTCCCTCCTTTTTAACCACCCTCAGCTCCAGCCTCTCTCACTGGCAGCTGTGAAATGACAGTTCTGGGGTCCTGCGCGCGCTATATTTCCGGAAATTATGTTTGTCTGCCAATGGGCCTCGAACAGTTCACGCCACTAGCTCAGCAACGTGACTGTCACAACACATGACGGATAAGAGTACGTTCTGGGTTATATGGGCTACTAGTGGCTGAGCTAAAAATAGCAATAGTCACGTTGAAAGCCACGCGGCTAGAACGAAAATTCAAAACACGCGGTGACCGATTGACCTGTAGCTGAACCATGCTGCAATATATGCAGTAGGTGTAAACCTCAAGTTTGAGGTTATGTTAGATTAACCTTAGCAAGAAACCGCTGCAGTGACGCTCATCAGCTACATACAGTTTCTATTAATGTTTACAAATGTACATGTATAGATAGTACTTAAACTTGTTCGCTTAAAAAAAATAAAACTTGATATTATGATGATCCAGGTGTAAAATGAACTTCGTTTGGCCACTATTAACAAGAGAAGAAATACCAAAATGGTCGCAAAAATCCCTGTTCTAAATTTAAAAAATAATTGATAAACCGAGAACAGTTGAGAAGTGTACGTAACATTGATTGATATTACTGAGACGTGTAAAATTGACATTATTCTAGATATGTGGAATCTATTTCACCGGTATGATTTACAAGATTTTTTGTACCAATTTATGCAAATTGGTGTCTTTCCGCCTAAAAGTCACTGGAAACACCTAACAAAGAACATTCTGATCAGCACGTACTCCTCTGGTTGGAGTGAACGTCTAAATAACTGTGGTGATTTTTGCAGATTTAAACATTTGCAGCGGGATGTTAGTCCCTCTCCTCTATGGTACCTTGCGAAATGTTCTCCATATCTCTACCATACTTTAAAAAAATGTAGCAAAGCTTTGGTGCGTTCCTCCAAATTGCGAACTATCTTGTGCTCAGTGCAAACTATTAGTCGACGATGCGGTTGCCCACCGTATTTTAGACTGCAGTAGTTCCACAATATTAAATATACGTGACATTTTTGTCACCAACGACTACCCGGTGAATGTCTATGTTACGCTAGTTAACTCGTGTAGAGAGGTTCAAATTGCCACTATTCTTGGAAGTCCACCAGCTGTCATAGCAGACTTATTTCTGGACGCTGACTCTCTTCTTGCATCATTCGCAAAAGTCTGTTGTATTTTTGCCGAAAAGGCCTCTTTACTTACATGTAACTAGCCGTTAGTCAGCATTAATTTTATGTCCTTGTAATTATCACTTCATTATCGTTTCTCTGTATCTATCTCTTTCTTCATTATATTTTTAAATACTTTGTGTCATAATATATAATTACATGATTCTTCATTTGTAACTCTTCAATTTTGGAGGAATAAATAAATGAATGAATGAATGAACATTAATTGATATTACTGAGACGTGTAAAATTCGAACCAACACAGAAATAATACCGATGATAGATAGTCAGAACCCGTTGGACTGGAAATTTAATGTCCGGACTTAGAGTTTTCAATACCATATCATATTGACTTTCTCAGCTGGTTTTGAGGTGTGATCTTGAAATGTAAGTTTATTATAATTTTCTCCCAATGATTTTGCATGCCAATTCAACAGTCTGTATAAATAAATTACTGTTGTTCTTTTTGTAAAATCTTCGTGAAGGTGGAAATAAAGAGAATAATAATAGTTGTTGTAGTAATCATGATATACTTATATGGCTAAGATGATCCTCGATACATAAGTTTAAACAGCATGTGTTGGCAATCTTCAAACTGATTCAATTGGTCTTTACTGCCTTGTTGACCTGTCTTACTGCCTTGTAGACCTTTTATAGACCTGTCTAACTGCCTTGTAGACCTGTCTATATTGTCTTGTAGACCTGACTTACTGCCTTGTTGACCTGTCTTACTGCCTTGTATACGTGTCTTACTGCCTTGTTGACCTGTCTTACTGCATTGTTGACCTGTATTATTGCCTTGTAGACCTGTCTTATTGCCTTGTTGACCCCTTGTAGACCTGTCAACATTGGCTTTTAGACATGTCTTGTAGACCTGACTTACTGCCTTGTTGACCCCTTGTAGACCTGTCTTACTGCCTTGTAGACCTGTCTTATAGACCTGTCTAACTGCCTTGTAGACATGTCTATATTGTCTTGTAGACCTGACTTATTGCCTTGTTGACCTGTCTTACTGCCTTGTATACGTGTCTTACTGCCTTGTTGACCTGTCTTACTGCATTGTTGACCTGTATTATTGCCTTGTAGACCTGTCTTATTGCCTTGTTGACCCCTTGTAGACCTGTCAACATTGGCTTTTAGACATGCCTTGTAGACCTGACTTACTGCCTTGTTGACCCCTAGTAGACCTGTCTTATTGCCTTTGCCTTGTAGACCTGTCTTATTGCCTTGAAGACTCCTTGTAGACCTTTCTTACTGCCTTGTAGACCTGTTTATTTTGCCTGCCTTGTAGACATGTCTTACTGCCTTGAAGACCTGTCTTATTGCCTTGAAGACCCGTTTTACTTCCTTGTTGACCCCTTGTAGACCTGTCTTACTGCCTTGAAGACCTGTCTATTTTTTCCTTGTAGACCTGTCTTACTGCCTTAAAGATCTGTCTTATTGCTTGTAGACCTGTCTTACTGCCTTGTAGACATGTCTATTTTGCCTTGTAGACCTGTCTTATTGCCTTGTAGACCTGTCTTACTGCCTTAATGATATGTCTTACTGCCTTAAAGACCTGTCTTAATGCCTTGTAGATCTGTTTTATTGCCTTGTAGATCTGTCTTACTACCTTGTAGACATGTCTTACTGCCTTGTTGACCCCTTGTAGACCTGTCTTACTGCCTTAAAGATCTGTCTTACTGCCTTGTTGACCCCTTGTAGACCTGTCTTACTGCCTTGTAGACTTGTCTTACTGCCTTGTAGACTTGTCTTATTGCCTTCATTTATGTAAATGAGAAAAGAAGTTGGCCCCAGAACACTGCCCTGGGGATTCAACACCTCTGTCCAATTGGATGTATCATCATTTATCACAACTCTCTGTTTCCTGCCAGTCAGGAAGTCTTGTATACATAAAACAAACTTAGATATATACACCCCTGTGTATTGTGACCCTGTTTATTGTGACCCCTGTGTATTGTGACCCTTGTGTATTGTGACCCTGTTTATTGTGACCCTTGTGTATTGTGACCCTGTTTATTGTGACCCCTGTGTATTGAGACCCTGTTTATTGTGACCCTGTGTATTGTGATCCTGTGTATTGTGACCCTTGTGTATTGTGACCCCTGTGTATTGTGACCCCTGTGTATTGTGACCCTTATGTATTGTGACCCCTGTTTATTGTGACCCTGTGTATTGTGATCCTGTGTATTGTGACCCTTGTGTATTGTGACCCCTGTGTATTGTGACCCCTGTGTATTGTGACACTTGTGTATTGTGACCCTGTTTATTGTGACCCCTGTGTATTGTGACCCTGTTTATTGTGACCCCTGTGTATTGTGACCCTGTTTAGTGTGACCCCTGTGTATTGTGATCCTGTGTATTGTGACCCCTGTTTATTGTGACCCCTGTGTATTGTGATCCTGTGTATTGTGACTCCTGTGTATTGTGACCCCTGTGTATTGTGACCCTGTGTATTGTGACCCCTGTTTATTGTGACCCCTGTGTATTGTGACCCTGTGTATTGTGATCCTGTTTATTGTGACTTTTGTGTATTGTGACCCCTGTGTATTGTGACCCTGTGTATTTTGACTCTGTGTATTGTGACCCCGTTTATTGTGACCCTGTGTATTGTGACCCCTGTGTATTGTGACCCTGTTTATTTGTTACTAGGTAGTGTTGATGAAATATTTATCAACAGTGGAATGAGCTGTGTGATTATATTGATGGTTATGCTGACTTTAAAGCAGGGCCTTCTTCATTAGCGGTTATTGTGAATTATTGGGGTCATTGAGTCTTTTTGTATTTGTTTTTCCGTCTCATGTGTAATACTTGTATATAATTGTTTAATCATTGAATGAACTATCGTTAAAACTAAAGCTATTGTATAGAAACCTATAGTATTGAGAGTTGAGACTGATAGATTTACATCACATCGCCGAATGTATGTTATGAAAAATATCCACAAATATATGTTTATTGGGCTGTTATTGTAGTTTCCTTCCTTCAAACTGATATTTTAAAGGTTTATATGAAGAATGAATACGTATCGTATTCAAAACACAAGCTCAACTTTTGAACTTAGCCAAGTTTATTTTTTACCCTTGAATTCTATGAAATCACAATACATACAAAGTGTAACATGCATTTTTAATGTCCAGGTATATAGGTGCTGCATAATCCATGGACGTTTCTAAAAATACCACTGACTTGGGTCAGGAACGAACCGGTCACTACCGGTCACTACTGGTCAGTGTTGACCGATATCTGAGAACAAAAGCACGATCCAGTAAGAGATCATAAAGATTTATAACCGGAACAAGGACGTTAAGCCCCTAAAACGAAAGAAAGAAGAAAGATTGTAGAGAAAGCTCAACATGTTTAATATTACGATGTAAAATGACGTATATGTATTGATTTTCCGTTATGCATATGGATTTAACTTTCGAGTAGCACGAAACAACCGAATTTTTCAATAATGTAGTTAGTCTGAGTTACAAAATTAACTTCATTGTGTTTTTTTTATTATTCTCAAAATTAAACGTGCGTGACAAGGAACCCACCGATAAAATTTTATCAATGGAAATACCATGCAATACTTTATTGAATTCGCCTTACGTTGGTCTTACCATCACTTTCAAAATACACTCGTAAATATTAATTTATCTCAAATTTTCATAAGTGAATATGTGTTACTAAAATTGTTCAAATTGTCATCCAGCAAACTACAGCTGTCTTATTTATTTCCAAATTGACAGAAATTTTGTGCGACGAAATCGTGCCACGAAATCTTAAAGTCAGTTACACGTTTCAAGCCTTACAATTCCTTGGTAAAAATCAAATAATTTCAAATCTAGAGTCAGTCCTAATTCGAG